ATCACCGTGATTTTATGTGAGCTTATTCAAACAAAGGACAATAAAATTAGGAATGCATGCCCACATTTGGATGCTTCAAGTCAAATAAATGAATGGTCTGGTCAAATGGGCATATGTTTGCGTGACTTCTGATGACAGTCACAGAGATAAAGATGATCATTCTTATCAACTGCATCGTCAGAGCCATACCCTTCTGCCTGGTGAAATGATCGGCTGAGATAGGGGAAAACCGGACAGGGCGTTTTTCTCTCCTCATTACCACTACGAGTCCAAACAACTAAAGTTGTGCAGAGGGGACAATCCGGAGACGTGATACGCATATCCCGACTCAACATTAGCTAAATCTCGAATCAGCAGAAGCTTCTTAAAAAACTTTAGAACACACAGAGAAGGTACGATCTTTGTCAATAGAATGCCTTACTTACCCTCACTTTTCATGTTCTTCCGAAAACATCATTTTTGGTGAATTTTTACTTTTATAACTACGTGCGAAGGAGAATAGGGAATAGGGTAAAACCGAGGTGGGACAGGAAAGAAGGCAGCAAGGGTGTTTTTTCTTCCATTTCGTATCTTATTGAAAAATAGATGGTAGATTGTAGCAGCGAGTGCTTTAACGAGTAAGAAATTTAGGGAAGCTTCCTGCACTATGATTGGCTTCTTTTTTTAAAATACCTCTTCTAATTATATTATAAACGGAAATAATTATTTGACTAGTTTAAATATCAACTGCTGACGGAAATGTAAGTCCTTCTTGTGTTCCATCCACAATTCACTCCAAATTATAGCGGACTTCTCAGGACTAGATAAAAAGGTAGTTTTTCCCATTAAAAGTGATTCTTTAGCAGCTTTTAACGGAGATTTGAGGAAACTCAATTACTAAGATGAAGAGTGTTTTTTCCTCCCTTGTTTGGCTACTTTTAGCGATTACTTAAATAGAAATAATTTATCTCAGAAGTCAACATAAAATGCCCTATTAATGGTAAGCTGTAATGTCCTCAGCGATGTGACACAGCCCCGTGGTCGCCCTCAAAATCGGATCAGCTCTATAGAAGATTTCAAGCATCTAATCACCTTCGAGTCGTAAATTTAGACACTTAAAGCTATTGAAGCCCATTTGAAGTTTGGACTCTCTGCTGCTGTGTTTAAGATGTGGTAAGACAGCAGCCTTTCCGCCCACTTTTATGCACTGAAGCTGAATTTGTTTCACCATTAACATCATGCTAATAGGTCGTGCTTTTACAGGAGTAAGGATGTGTTGCCCACCGAAAAGAAGGAAGCGTAAAAACACTACTTAGCACTCACTTGTGATCTTGTGACCTGGAGAATGATAGTAAAATTACCGCAAGGTACGAATTTAGCACGTTAGAAAACGAGCAGTCCCTCCCATTAAAACGTGTTTGCATCAAAAACATTGCCACCAGAGTTCTTCGCCAGAATGATACTGGTTCGTAAAGTGTGTTATGTTGGGACACTGGAAGAGGGTTTTTTCGTCTAGAGGATAAAATCATTTTGATGTCCTGTGGAATGTTTTCACTGCCTGAAGATGTCACATGCCTACAATGGCTTTGAACGAACCGTCAAGGTACGTGTAGGCGATCGTAGGCCCTACGGCAAAAGCGTTCATCCCATTTGTTAGGCGATATGAATTCAGAACCCTAACCCAAGGTAACCGTTAGGCTTGCAGTTCAGGAAATAATAATAATCTTGCCTCTTGCATAGCTCACCACTGCAATTTGAGGGAATAATTTTGATCTTGAAGGGCAACATAACCTTGGAAACAAGTTGTAGTGGCTAAAGTTACTCTGCTGAATATTGAAGAAATCTCTTCAGCAGCCACTTATTCTTTCAGTAGAATTTTTTCCTATGCAGTCACTCGATTTTCTGTCCAAATAAATGGTGCAATTCGCTAGAAAGTGGTTGAATGGCCTTTTTTGTTCATCCCTGGCTCTTTTGAGGGAGGCAGGTGTTATCGTCAGGTTATCAGCAAGCAGCTGCCACAGTTTGTGATCCAACTCTCGTCAAGGCTTCCATAAGCTTAGTTTTTGTTTATATTAGAGCATTATAACATGTATTTAATCCTAAAGTGTGCAATTTAGCATCTTGTCGTGGTAATCCTTGAGGCCTAATAAGGGGCTCTGATTCTTTCCTGAAGACGAAAGAAGCCATTATTCTTTGGACAGAATATGTACAGCACGTAATGTTTGGCCTAGAAGCCATGCCTCCCAGGGAGAGTCCAGGGGCAGAGACTTATATACCCATACAACCAAAACAAAAAGTTGAACAAAGTATCACATCCAATGTAGCGCACCGTTTTATACGAAATTATGGTCATCTGAGCAATTCACCTTATTATCTGCCAAATAATGATACATTTCTGCCGATTTTAGCAGTTGAATTTAATATTTCAAAGTTGTCATTGAAGATGAACTGTAGATTTTAAATTTAGCAGCTTTAAGAACAGCAAACTACGAGCATTTATTTACGAAAAAACTTCATATCAAGCATGCTCACAACCAGTGAAGGAAAAATTGCATGCTGTAATTATTTTTCCATGGCAAAGTAGGTGAAAATGTATTGCTTTGAAAATTTAGACTTTAGATGGTGTAAATAGTTGTGGGTATTTGTAATACCTCCCTTTTAACGTCAACAAAAGGGTGCCACAACCACACTCGGCTGATTAAGTGGTCAACAGAAGGACAAACACTCAATCACCCCACCGACTCCCCTAGCTTACCCTTTATGGGAACACATGCAGGCCCATTGACGCAGTTATCTTAACAAACACCTTTGTGTATCATGAGGTGACATCGGGAATGGCAGTGGCGATATAAAGTGCAAGAGTATAAATTTAAGATAAATCTCTCATTTTCCTCTTTGACTTTTATCGTAGAGAGTCGCGAGCATCTGGTTCTTTCTCCATTTATAAAGTGACAACCTCTCTATTTGCTTCTCCTGCCTTTTTAGAACCTCGCAACAGCCTTTTAATTTAAACGTCATAACAGAGGATCCGTGATGCTCCAATTGTTTGTTTGAATCTCCGCCTCAGTTACACAGGCAATTAAGGCTCCTTCTTTGTACTTCCCCTGAGTGCCATGGCATCCAAATCATTACAATAGCCCTCCAGTTCCTCTACCCATCAGCAATACATATTCTCCTCTAATTTTATGCCTTCTTTTATCTTCAGCGAAATCTGGAAACGCTGCAGTTATTTGGGTGCAACCCCACGTAGATACTTGCAACTCCGTTTATATCATTATGTTTCATAATCGGTTTGGTTAAGGTGTGTTTATTATGAGAATCCATCTCAAAGATGTTTGACTAATTTTCGTTGGGACTTCCTCAATTTCTTCTTGCTTATCTACTGTTACCAATCGCAGTTAGTTACAGAGAAGTGCATTAATTGCGAGGAATGCATAATAGAAGAAAGTGTGGCTTCCTCTCATTCAATTACCAAATGCGAATTCTACAGGCTCTCACTTTCTTACTTTCCAGATTATTAACTTACCTTCTACAGAACGAGCTTTAACCCATAAGGATAACTACTATGGGCTTCCAACGCTCTTTTAGTGGTGAGATTGGGAAGGGTTCAACTCAAATTCTGTAAAGCATCCTTATTAACTTTTCTTATGCGGCCCAGACCGTAGATTAATAGAAGACAAGAAGTCAAATTTCCTCAGGCAGACAGTCGGATAAGGTTTATTTACATATCAACGCTTATATTACCTCAGACTTGGAAGAAGCCGAATCGCAGATTCTTTCTGAGAAACGATAAAATTGTCTACCTAAGGAAAAGTGAGTTTTTTACCTTTGGCGACCTACAACAATCCTTCGTACATTAATTAGGAGGCTAGTGCATCTTCTGGATTCCTTAACCGAGGAACGTCTTGTGAACGTATTCAAAATAAATTAGGATGAAACAGGGAACCCCTATTCAAATATATTTCCTCGTTTCACCTATCAAACTTAATTTCCTAAAAATTAGGAGGCTTATTAAAGATTAAATATGGTGTAACATTGGACTTTGCTGTGAACCGTATAGCTATCATTTAAGCGCCTCCTTTAGGTTGCCGTACTCAGATCAAAATTTTACTCTTTCTCTGCGATTTATAAATAAGGTATGAATTAATCCACGTAATATCAACCATAGGTTGAAGTGATGGTTTACAAAGAAATTCTAGTTCATGGTTGGTATTCCAAGTCAGTATACTACTTAAGGAAGTTGTACTTTGGAAGGTGAACACTGCAGTGGTGCAAAAATGTGAAAAATATCAACAAATACACCCTGCTCTGATTTGTACTTGGCAATATGACATTGTCAGGTGACTCGTAGCTACGTTATTACCACACAAATGCAGTGGTTTCCCATGCACTTGTTCCACCTAATGGGGAGTTTAGTATTTGTTGCCTTTTGGGCCTTCCGTGCTCAGTAAGGTATATTATTCCATGCCATTAGGACTTTTACGACTTCTTACCTGAAGGGCCGAGATCTGCCCACCACTTAACTCGGTTTAATACACTGTTTGCGGAACAACCTACATCGTTGAGCCAGTGGACTGGAAAGATGTGTCGCTTTTGTCTTTGCAAGACAACTCCAGCTTTTGTACCTCAAATGGCCCAACTCGACTATGAGACTTACACTTTAGGACGGAAGGTTCTGCTCCTTTCTCATCCTTGTTTAACTCTCTGTATTCTCCAAACTGGCATGTATCCAAGCGATAATTATCACCTTTTCTTGACATTGAACAATCACATGTGAAACAGGTTGGGCAGCTGGGAAATAAAAGTGAGGGAAAACTGAGGGTAAATAGATTATTTGCTCTGAAGGGCAAAATGCTCTACAAAGGTGGAATTTGCAAGCTTGGGTGTCATTGGAAGCCATTAATCTCTGCAAAGAGACCCCTGTAGTTGCTTAATTTCTAGCAGATGCAGCAATTCCTTGATTAGCAATTTTTAAAACATCCACTTGCAAAGCATTCGCTGTAGCAGTTGTTGAGCCTCTATTATGAGGACACCAAATCACTGTTTTGCTGCCTCTTAGTAGATAGTCCGCCAGTCCATACTTGGTACTCGACGCCGCCGTCTACACCGTTGCATAGTGAGTCCTTTTGGTTGCGGTGCAGCACAATCGCGACAGTCTGCTGCAGTAAATGCATGGAAGAAGAATGTGGAAGAACGAAAGGACGAAAGAAAAAACGACTTAACTCTTGCATATTCTGAAACCCATTCAGCCTAATTCTAAATGTATCTGAGAGAAATAAAATGATCGAAGAGGCACACAAATCCTTAGACTTCGCCATGGTTTAGGTACACGTATCAAACTATCCAGTCGCCCAGTGGATGTCAGAGCTTGCTTGTTTGAAAATTAGATCGTTCGCGAGACAGGCAAGCTTAACGAGTGCCAACCTCTCTGGTTCTCGCTGAAATGTTGCCCTTTTCTTTTCATTGCATAGCATGCCACATATCCACAATTAAGTAGTCTTCTCACTATGCTGTGAATATTCTAGTGTCCATAAATAGACCCATAGAAGTACTTATCCATCCCACTGCCGTAATTACTGATATGGGCTTGCGTTTCAAATTTTTGGAGTTTAAGGGGTTTGCCTCCTCGGTTTATGTTTTTTTACTGGGTTTTATTTCTTGCTCGGCAGCCTACTCACTTACTTACTTACATAGCTGAAAGGAAAGGCGGCTTTAAGTAACAGAGAAGCGCATACACTCCGCGACTTCCATAGCCAGGCAGGAGGATGTGAGCGTCTCTCCTACTGTTAATTTATTACCTTATTTGCAGTTTAATAAATTAGCTGGCTGGTTTTTAATGGACATTTTACATTTGAGGACGAAATTAGGTTTCTTGAGTTCTTTTGACGGTTAAGGTAGCCTTGACTTTTAGTATGAATGCCTTATTACGGGTAAGAAAAAAGAAAGTGGACGAATAGTGGGTCTCATTACATATAAGACTAATGCATGGTCCCCGTTCACGGCCTCACTGATTGATTTGCAGCAGTGCAGACTTGAGCGCGTGGAAAGGGAAATGTACTGCATACGCTAAGCGTTCACCTGAAAGTGGAACTGTTGGGTGGAGTGGCTCACACGTTGAAGGACAGCATGCAAAATCAGTGCTTGTGTAGTATAGGTAGCCTGAACTGCGGAGGATGCAGTGACAAAGATTGACGGATCTAGTGAATGGCAAACAAACGAGTGATTGGAACTAGAATTCACTGATATGGTCCGATCTAATCTGATATAATCGAATTTGAACGCTGATCTACGCTCAGATGCAAAACTTGTGGTTCTGTTGAAGCAGCACTTCTTCTCGATGGTACTGCAGCTTCTCACTTCCTTCCTTGCACCAGAATCAACTCTTGCGAGGAATCATATGGCCTCAACTTTAACCAGGGGAATGGGGTTTTCCTTTCCACCAGGATGACTTCAGTTTTGTTTTATTCACGTAGGCTTCTAATTTATTTTGGCACAACTTCATGGAGAATAATTCACACAGGAATTGGCTTTTTTTTATAGGTGATTTGTGAGTTGGGACGAGTAGATATGGCCGATGAACAAGATTTGTTTGTGTAATGTATGACTTCCCTTTACGATTGCTGACAGCAAATCGAGCCCCGATTTCCACATTTTGAGTTCTACACATCGAGTCTTTGGTTGCAGAATCTGAAAATTTAGCCAATCTTCACTGGTTTCGTGTAGTTAGTTGTAATTTTCCTAATCATTTGTACCCTTCCATTTAAATGCATCCATTCAGTACATATTTATCTGCTAACCTGTCGCGTACCTTTCTCTGGTGTCAAAATGTTGCCCTCTGTCGCTCCGAAGTGCGAGCACATTTGTTCTGTCTAGCCCTTTTCCATTGTGGAGTAGTCACGGACAGGAAATGACTAAGCTGCTGACTTGGCATGTGTGCCCATTGAGTGGACTTTAGGACATGTGGTCGTAGGTTCGCACGGAGAGGATAAATGACGCAGACACCTTTGTACATTCTAACAGCAGCTGGTGAATGATCTGTATGGCCAGCCGCAGAATAATCTTTTTTTTGCTATAAGGTTTCAACTTCTTTATAGCCGTGTACAGTATAAATGGATTGCGAATGGAACAGCATTAAAATTGCTGAAAGTCAGTGATGTCCGGAGGGTAACCTCCAAATGCAACATTGCGCTGAGCACTTCAACAACCACTTCATCACAGCCAGCATGATCAACTGAACTGTACAGTCTGACGGTTTGTGCATGAACAAGATCAATCGATGGCGAAATGGTTCGCAAAGAAATACAGCACTCTACTCATCATGGAATGTTTGTCTTGTAGCGTAAGCATCCCGAGTTTAGAAAAAGTATCAATCCTATAATGACCGATGTGAAGTAATGCTAATCTAAACCCTATTTGCAAATATTGCTGGCTCAGGCTTACCACAGGGGATTAGATAGATGGGAGATCCTGGTAAGCTAATTTTGTCTGTATTCCCATTCAGCTTGTTCGCTAAATAACCAACTAAATGCTGGAATGATGCTCATGAAGCAGAATGGTCTCAAGGCAGACGTAAAGATCTTGGGGCTTATTTCTTCGATACTCAACAGATATTACCCCTTATCAGCTTTTAAAATTCGACGTCGTTGGTTCACTTTAGACACCGGGCATGTATTTATTTACATCCATTCTTCATGCATGCAGACAGAGAGATGGACAGACAGACGGGTGGATTGCCAGAAAGAAGGGCAGACAGATTGATGGGAAGAAATACGTACATGCATGTTTCGTGGTGCAAACAAACCCTGATATTTGAAATGCACGCCTGATTTTGAATTATGTGATAACGCGGTGAAGAAGCGTAAAGTGAGATTCATTACTTCCACCACATTGCTGATTCTACCTTCTCCATTACTACCCCTCTTCACTGACTTGCCAATTTTAGCTGATATTTCAAATCCGTCTAGTTGACGTCCACTTAAAGAAACATACTGCTTTGTCTGACTTCGTTGCAATTCAAAAGACGAAATTTGTGTTGAAGGTTGTATTAATTCCTGCTTGTAGTGACTTCCTGATTTCCATATGGTAGGGTAACCTAAAGTGGGTAAGAATATGGAAAAAACCAACCCCTCGCCACCCCATTCAACAATGCATGGACAACCTGACTCTCTCAACAAATGTCTTGTCACCGAAAGCAAATAGCCTAATCCTAGCCACCTACGCTTCTACCTCCTTTACTTTTCCAACTGTCTGTTCTGTTCCGTTCTTTTCTGTTTCATTTAATTCTGCTTCGATTCAAAATTGATTATAAAATCTTTGAAGGTTTAGAGAATGGAAAAATACGTAGAATAAGGAGCATAGGATAAGGATGAGGACGAGGATAAGTCAGTATCTATCACTGCATCCCTATCTCCCTTCCCCTTTCTAATCATCTTCCACAACTTGAAACCAAATGGCTAACGACATTATTGGCAAGATTTGACATAAGTGTAAAATTAAAAAGTACATTTTGACAATAATTTTGCCAAATCAGATGCACTTAAGTCAGTGCAGGCAAGATGAAAATGAGTTGGCGAACAGGTATTCTTTTCAAATCACCGTAAAATTAATAAGCTGCAGATGAGAACTGAGTGGAGCATTTGAGTGGTTATTAGTGCTGTCAATGGCGTGATTTCCTTTCAAGGAGGAACTGATTGGTGAAAATGCAATAACTAGCTGCTTCTGCACATAGTTCGAGACGTCTATTCATGGAGAATGTAGGAAGGTAGAGAAGGCGAGAGGGTGGGGGAACATCTCAATAACTCCTTTCTCACTCATCCACTTCTGTTTACAAAGATGAGAAAGTGTGAGTGAGTAGGAGTAAATTGAAGGAAGTGGAAGTAATAAGTGGTGGCTAACAAGTGCCACGAGTAGAAGTGGTAGTCAACACACGTACAGCAAATGAAAGCACTTTTGGTCTAGTGACAAGGACAGTGACTACTCAGAGTGGCCAACAGAGTGGCGTTTCATTGGCACCGTGGGTAGTTACATTTCTTGCAAATTTAATGTGGGTAATTGTGTATTGTCGGTCTTGACGAATTTGCTCAACACTGAGTTAAAAGGGCTTTAATAAGTAACAACACTTCCTTCCACTGTAATTTATTACTTCACCACATGCATTCATCCAATGTTTTCGTTGTGAAGTAAAAACAGTCCCACACTTAAAGTGAAAGTCAATTTTACCGAGCCTCTAGCAGCAGACGAGTTTGATTTCATAAGCATGCCTTAATTCATGTGAATCACGTCTTATATATGGTACATCTGTTTTATGATCACTTTCCTCTGGCACCGTGGCGCAGACATTTGCCTCTTGTAGGTACCAAGTATCAGGTAAGCGTTAATTTCTATAAGTGGTTAAAGGTTTTACGGGCCAAAGTCAACCGACCAAACAATCGGCTAAGTGGGAGTCGGGATCTGAAAACAGTGTACAGCTATCACATATTCGTTTGCGTTCTTCACTCTTCGTGGTCATTCGTAGACCATACTGAGCAATTTTCAGTGAGTCGATGTAAAATGGTAACAGAAAAATAAAAAGCTGCAAATCTCGCACCTCATTATTAACAAAATAACAATGATGGAAGCTTACATATCCAGTTGTCCAACTAAAAGCTGAAAAGGAGGAAGGAGAGGAGGGTGAGAAAGGAGGTGCCTATTTGTGTAAATGGGGAAATATGCATAAAGAAGGCAAGAGAGATAAGGGAGAGCCAGTTGATGTAATCATGGATAATACCTAAGTGTACATGGAATGAGGTAGCTTCGTGGAGTTTGCTTTTCTCTCCACCAGAGGCACATAGTTTTCCCGTCGATTTACGAGCCATTACCTCTAGGTGAAATTAAGTCGGCTGGCCTTCCTCTACATGCGATTTCTCTCTGAGTACTGCAGAAAAATGGTAACTTCTAAAAAACCCATTGCCAAAATCATCAATGACACAAATGACGCTAACAAGGATATTATAACCATATGCTTGGCCTTTACATAATAGGTGAATTCATCACCTTAACGTTGCTTTAACCTTGCCTATTACCCTGTCATTATGCTTCAGCCTAAAAGTAGCTTAAATAGTTGTGATCCTTAAAAAAATTTAAAGTCGAAGGAATACTACTGAAATCGGATGTTTCTAAAATCCGGAAAGTTGTCCAGAGATGGGTTAGGGCTGAATTATCTTTCCTTCAATAGACAAGCTTAAATGGTATCTTTGCGGGCCATGAAGTTGGATTGTTTAGCAAACCGTCCTCACAATTTCACCGATTACCTTGCCCTAGGGAGGGGAGTAATTTCATACGCCGTAGACATTTAACTGCTGTCCCCAGATAATATTAAAATAAGACTTGTTGATTTCAATCACCTTTAAAAATAGTCAGCCACATTTTGTACGCACTGATCACAGAGCCGCTATAAAAGGTCTCGTCAAGAAATACTCTTCAAGCAATTTCCTAACGAATTTGCTTTTCCAAATTTCCTTTTATGCTTAAATATGTAGAAACATTATCTAATGATTTAAAACAATGCCAAATTTACAAAGGTTATCACAATTAATCATTGAGGATTCACATACGACTTCACCAGGATACATTTTTCAGCTTAAAGCACTAAACAAAATGTGATTTAAAACTGGCCTCCTCTTGACTATCTTTGTGATCTCAAGGTATTAGAAAATCAGCTGAACTTAATATTTGCGAGGAATTAATTGAAAGGTTAGGCCAATCCTGGAGGTGGTATTTATGCTTTGCTTTCACCATAGGTCTTCCTCACTTCAGTAAGACACTACCACAACGTGCAACGTGGCAGTGTTGGTGAAGAAGCACTGGAAGGGGTGTGTGCTTGTTGAGTGCTCAGCCCTCTACAACTTCAATACACTGGCCATTCTCAGAGAGGTGCTGCGATTTGTACAGTATCGACAGTGTAGCCAAAAACTCTCCACAACGCAGACTGTACAGGCGGTGTGGCAGAGGAATCAGTGTTGTATTCTTTGAGTCACTTTCTTCCTCTCTTTACTTCTCCTGTCAAAAAACATCAAGTATCTGCATTGCAATAAAGCAGCATGCTCATTACGAGAGCATGAATTATCCAACTGAATTATCTTCTCCTGGCCGTTTCATGTCGCGTAGTATAGATGCGATTCAGAGCGGTCGGCCGCCGCACCGAGTTAAGCAGTAAAACCTCGTATTCTAGGAGAGATAAGAGCGGAGTCAGGGAAACACAATGGAGTTGGGTGCCCAGCCGGTTTAATTATGGATCTCAATAGCGATGTTACCAGTTAATTATTTCTCCACTGTGTACATGCCTTGTTTTATTCTACCGGGACTGCTTACCTGGAAAAGTATAAATGTCACAGCACTTTTAGCAGTATATTTCATGTCCCCTGTGAGATCACTTCCCTCTTCTTCTTCCACACTTCTTGGGTCTGTTCTCTACATCATGCTGAACTAGTGTGTGCCACCCACCATAAACCACATCCAGTTAGTAGTGGAGCTGTCGATTTGGAGAAATTCTTTTGCTTTTCTCGCATTCTAATTAAATTAAGGGTAGGAACCGAGCCGAATCCACATAGTCTGGTGAAGCTGTTACAATCTCTTAAGTGCTTCAGAGAAAACCAAAACCACAAAATCTTAACAGAGCTCTCAAAAAAACTCCAAACACTATCTAATGATACATTTTGGTCGGTTACCCATGGGGTTTTGTAGCTACATACAAAGAAAGTGAGAATCTGACGAGTGCTTGTGATTTAGTTAAATGATGCAACCTTCTCCTCCTCCCACACCTGCGGTATAAGTGAGCATGCATGCTGCAAAACTGTCCTGACATGAACAGGCCAAATTCGGCTAAAACCCTAACCTTGTGGATGATCGAATGTTGCTGGCAAAAATGTAAAACTAGAGTTGCATCTTACACTTTTTGGTAAGAAAAAAACAATGAAAGCCAAAATTTTTGTTTCTTCATATAAACAAACTCTCCCTTTAAAAATGCATTAGGCGTATTGATTATTTATTCGCGCTCCCTTCAAAAAAAGTGGTTTTAGTAACACTGAGACGCTTTTCGTGCAGAATGTAAAATCTTAACCAAAAATTTTTTCTGTCTACTTTCAAATTTTAGCCGGTACCACTGCCAGGGGAAGGCACGACTTTGTCCCTTAGTGAGTAGCCCAAATGAGAACAGGTAAAAGTATTCCTTTTTGTGATTCTGTATGCACGAGTGGCTTTTGGAGGGTTTTAATGGTCAGCTTCGATACACTATCGGGTAAGGAGACTGGCTAAGCACTAAAAGGCAGTTCTTGAAAAAATCTTTCATTATTTACCCTTTATATTTCCATTAATATATTTATTCAGGAGTTCTTCTCTATTTCGGCTCTATTATTTGCATTTACTTACAACTCTATCAATAATATCTGAAAAAATACTGACTTGATAACCTACGAATGGGATGGCTAATGCACGGTAAGTTAATCATGAGGTCTGTATCCTTCTAAACATGGAAAAATGAATGTTTTTAGGTAGTAATTAACGTGGGTATCGTTTGGAAATCCTTGTCCACAGTCCGCCCACGCGTTATTAGGATTGGAAGCGCATGTAGGGTTAATTTAGTCCTCCTATTCTCTCTTCCCATTATGCCCAGACTTTAAAATGTGAATGGGTATCCATGGGACATTGGGCTGTCAAGTGGAGAAACCGAACCGCTCTGCGAGTTTTTGGTTTGCCAATAGTTGCAGAATTATAACATCTTATTCACCTATTTTAAACACTTCAAAATTCCTATATATCTCTTCTTTTTCCGCCAGAGGTGATGAATGTCAGAATATAGCTCTATTTTAACCCAAATGTTTTATTTGATCAATGACAAAGCAGCTGTCACAACCGACAGCATCAAAATGCAGTTTGGCGACTCTGGGAGCAGTTATTTTATAAAACCGCTGAAGTTTTAAAATGTTGTTTTCAGGCGAAGTAAGAAAGCTCTAGGGGATGAAGAAGTATTGCAGTAGCAAAATCGGAGCTTATTTATTCCCACGAGCTACACCGAGGACATGCCGAAATTTCGATCAGCAATTCCATCTATATCCGCCCAAAATTCATCAGCCGTCATAGCTGTAAAGCTGCTACTATGCAATAGAGTCCACCTAATTATTTAAAGTATCTTTTGGCTGACGGAATCCACCGGCTCGCTGGTACTCTGCTGTTGTTCTTGGTGAGTTCTTTCCCCGCACCACTGCACAGTCGGTTTGAGTGAGTACATGGAAGGAGAAAAGGCACGTAAAACGTGAAAGCGGACAGATATAGACAAAAAAATCCATCTGAACACCCAAATACGTTTCCAGATAGAACACTTCAAATGACTAGTTCATCTTATCAAATAAGCCGTGCATGTGATTTTTGGCCAAAAGTGGAGGGAAGAAAAACGCAATGCATTTAAGTTCCGTCCCTTCAACATGTTATGGCTAGCATTTATTTGCATGGCAGGTATCCCATTTTCTACTCTACGTATGGATTTTATTGTTTTGGTACTCTTTTACCTAGGCATTTAGAAAAAAATATTTTCACCAACTTAAGGTCTATTATCACGAGCAAAATAGTGCACAGTATAAGGAAGGCTGCGGCTCTTTTTCCCTATTCAAATGCTTTGATACAGCCTCTATTGTACCTAACGGGTAGGTTTTACTTCTTGACACCCTTGTAGATGAAAAAGTAATTTCCTAACCAGACAGGACAAATAATATGTGTTGTAAAATACCGCAAAACTTCAGCATTACCTTGGATTCTGAATTATCTGTAATCATAGTGTTCTTTGAGTAGTCGGTTGTATAATTACTCCACTTTTGATCTTTCAATTCCGGTTACCACTTGCTTAGTTGTAATCTTAGAAAGTATCTTGTTACAGACATCCGCACCTAGCTCAGCAGATGATTGATGCTATCTGGATCAACACATGCCTAAAAATATTTGTGGATTTATATTAGGAAGCATAAGTTAGCCTAGAGTCAACAGGGCTGTCTGACTCCTATTTTAATATCCAATTTGCCTTCCGATAAAAAATTCCCACAAACTGGATGCTTTTCTCATCTGGGCAATGATCAGAGGTAAAGAAAAACTTACTGCTGTCTTATTCACCTCTTCTTTTACTGCTAACACAATATCCTAACGAACAATTAGGCAAACATTTTATCAACCTTGCGTAGGCGGTTATTATGTTAATCGGAAGCGCATATATAAGTTGAATGACATCTCGTGGAATAATTAATGACGTATTGCCTCCTATATGGTCTAACAAATGGTTTCGGCGGGCTGTGGGTGAATCCTCATCAAAAAAACAGATAGTTTTTTACGAAAGTGTAGGTATGTTGCAGCAGCTAAAAACACTAAACATTGGCCTTGGTTATGAGAGGCTGTCTTATTTCCTCTTAAGTTTTAATGAATATATTTATCATGAAGGGTTCTTTCATAAGTGAGACCAAAATCCCACTTCTATCGAAGCAGCGTTTATGAGGATTTTGTCATTTGCAAGTACTATCTCTCGCTATGACTGCTAATAAAGTTTGTGATCGTATCACTATAAGGAAACTCCTCAAATAAGTCCACTTGATTACGGTGTGCTGACTAGCTACCTAGTCAAGGTAAATGGCTATCATCCTGTCTAGAAAGCTGAGCTAACAAAATTAATCAAGATGTTCACCTTCAGGACTTAGTGATGTGCATTATCTACTAACTATTGCCTTGGTCAATCGTTCACCTATTTCGTTCATAATTCTTCGCTTACTACGTGGAGCAAAGGGCAGCTGGATGTGAGGATACATCTGCAGTCATTTCTTCAGAAGTCAACCTAATTCCCCCCTTTTTGAGGGTTATTTGGAAGTAATCGTGTTTTCAGATCCATGTCAAGTGTTTTAGACACTCACATTGTTTGAATAATTCTTGGAAAGAGTGAAATTTGTTGATAAGCAACAAAATATTTTTTTATTTCTCAGCTGGTTGGCAAAATTTGAAGCTTGTTGTGTTTAAATTGACCATGGTGATGCAATCGTGGGTCATTTATATTCGATTCGTGGCCTCTTTGGACTCCAAAGTGGTACCTTTGCGTGTCCTCAAATCTGAAGCTCTGCCTAATCACCCTAAGTGTTGGTAGACACTAATGCCCAAAGGCCGCCTTTCTTATAACCGAGGAATGAATCAATCAACAAATGAATGAATGAATCAACAAAAACTGAGCCTTGATCGAAAAGAAGAGGTCAGTTCTGAAAATGGGTGCTTTGCCGCCTTCTAAATAGCATGTGATATTGTTTGATTGTGAAGTTGTCTTTTGGCTTCCAGCAGATCAAATTTGCAATTGTTTATGTTTGAACACCCTACATTTTTGAGTCTTTCGTACTTGATCAGAATTTCTCTAAAAAGTTAACAAGCACCACGTGTTTGTGACTAAAATATTGCTGTAGCAATGGTAAAGTCGAAATTTTTTGGCTTTTCGTGCAGGCATTAATGGATATCTTATTGATAACTCTGCCGGGGATAAACTAGGGCCCTCTCCTCGCTGTCCACTCCCAGCTATTCCACATAGGCTACTTTAAGACTTTTTAAATACATAATCAGAGTATTACATAGTCCTCTCCCCTATTGAGCACTGTCTTCGGCGCTGCTTGGACAACTTTCTGCGTCGGCCATCACAGGGCAGTCGGTGCTTTACAACTAAAATACAATCGCATCAGTTGTCGAATTTGCGAGTGAGTGAGAATGTTGTTGACCGTAACGTCACTTATCTCTTTAAAATTCCATGTTGTCTAAAGTTTCTTCCATTTTGGGAGCTGTATTGGGAAAGGGAGAATTGGTTTGGCCATCAAGTATGTCGATTGCTAGCCTTAAGAACACTGGAATGAATACAGAGTCAGTTAGTAAGTGACGGCGCCTGGAATGGCTTCATATAAATTGGATTTGGAGCACATTCTCCCTTGCCAATTCTTTCTCATCTCAGCACTGCCCACCCATATTTCTATTTGGATTCTACCCGTTTAGCAGAGAGTTGAAGAGATTGCGTGTTCATTTAATTAACATTGTCATAAAAATAACGTAGACAATTATGTAACAAGCTTTTAGATGGTCCACAGCAACAGCTCGTGTAGCTTTAGCTGATAATAGTATTCCTGTAGAACACGAGACTGGAGTAGTTGTCAAAGGTTGGCGTCATTTTTAAGCCCTTTGTCGGGAGTCGTCTCAGGTTCTCCCATCCACGGTATAAACTCTTCTACCGTCAAGTTGAGATTTAGTATTCATGAATGAAAACCGGGTTGGTTGTCAGTTAGCTGCCTCAAATTCAGCGCTCCAAGTATTTTGTGATGCGGAAAGGTAAACACATGATCCTAGTTCAGATTATGCATTAATGACATACAGGAGGACTGGTTAGGTGCTACCGGCATAGCTCGGCTCCCATACCAACCAGTAGAGGTACAAGGGCGAGGTCTTATTGCGCTTGAATCTAGTGTTTCCACGCACCTCTTCTTGTGAATAATATACTACAATTTCCACTTCGGCAATTGGTCAAAAATTTGTAAAGCAGGGCATTTTCTGCTCGATGAAAATTCACCCATTAAAAAGTACACGCTGTTCACTTAGTGATAGACAATGGCCATTTAAATGATCTTTTCCATTCTCATAATGGGATATCCTTTAAAATGATTTGATTTAAGTAACATTAACAGGAAATACCCACACACATTTGCTAGATGTCCACATCTGCTACCTTGACAACCTAATTTTGCCTCACTTCTGCCTTAAGTGTACTTTCTGCTTTACAAAGAGCAAACATTCGAATTGCTATTAACGACATTTTGAGCATGCATTAATTTGTACTCTCAAGCATCTAAAGGAAAGGAGTCTTTTCAAAGTAAACTAACTGTCAGTTAGGGTTAAGACATTGCTTTCATACTTATATGATATTTGTTTTCAACTGTTAAAAGGTTTATAATGCTTTACTAATCTGTTTATCTGTCTTTGTGGTTTTGAGGGCACTTAAGTCTCCGCCTGTATGCTTTTGCTGGGCGTCACGTCCTCCGAACCATATTAGTGGCTATTCATAGCTTCTGTACGTTGACAGCACATATCCTGCCCTACTAATTTGTCCTCTTTCAACTTCAGAGAAGTCTCAAGGGCTCTGCAAATTTTTGTACTAGGCACCGCAATGACACCTTCTGAACGAAGAAAGTGGGAGTAACGGTCCGGTTACTCCAGGTGTTTCCTCTTGATTGAAAGATACAAGTACCGTCACCTTAATCATTGGTTATTTTTTACAAGCATTAAGAATTTCCACTGCATAATGTCCACAATTTTGGAAGGTCACCTGTAGAAGAGGCAATAACCTGCATCGCTCTGATGGATTAATTAGCAGACATGGTGAGTGTTCAAAACACCACTCCGCCTCATACACCTACATTAGAGCAGTTGTTTATTTACAAAAACTTCACTGGAATTTGCAGACTGCCTAAGTGCTCTCGCCCAGCGATGTCAGTTGCTTTGTCAGCTATCTCGTAAAAACAGGTGACGGGGCGTTCAGAAGTGTCCATTTTAAGGCGCTACGTTCTACATTTGAACAAATTGTCTACCAGGAAGATAAAGACCGGGCTGTGATTTAAAGTGCGCCGCGATGAGGCGATTTTCTCTGGCAACTTGAGATCTTGTCGTGTAAAGCACTTCGCTCCATTTTTTACTTTTACCAAACGAATTGTTTTTTCAGTCAATGGGCACTTAAGGGAACATAGAATCTCCATCCATGCGTTATGTTTAGGTCAACGCCGCAGGAAAGCATGCGCTAGGTGTTACTGACCGCTATTCTTAACCAAGGTCAGTAGATGCGAGCCTTGTGAAGGATTGGACTCCATAAGGCCTTGGGATCAGGAGGAAATGCAACCTGAATGCACTCATCCGTGATATCTGTACCCCTTTACTTATCGCTACTCCATCAAATTATGGCCTAATTCAACTCGTCTGCTTGTTGCATAGTTATGGAAGTTGAGGTCCAAGTGAGAAACACGAAATTTGTTGCATAAAAGTGGCCAAGTTTTCCTACTGATATTTAACCCACTTGCTGAAAGCAGTCACAGTCTACTTCAGTGCAACATTTCGCAGACAGTTTGGATAATCAAGTGTCCTTTTACTCATTTAGGATACACATTTAACTTAGTACATAAAGTTTATTGGATGAGGTAATTTGGGATGATCCGAATTGTCCCCGATGTATTATTATCTTCACTTATATCTGTCCATCCAAATGATTATTCACAACATAAGTGCCGTGGGGAAAGAATTGTCATTTTTTAAAGAGGTTAAATAAGCGCTGCGTTTATCTTCGCGAATAGTTGTCTTCAACAACTCTGGATGACCCGAGACTTCTGGTTTAGTTGTTTAACTCTCAATTTTGTTTATACAGGCATATAGCCTTTCAGCCTTTCTGCACTTCAACAATACACTTGCTGTCCTATAATTGTGACTTCTGACTTTAGGAAAGACTCGGGGCCCTATAATGGTGACGGTGGAAAGAAAGCCCAATCCTAAAGGAAAAGAGAATAGTATACCTCAAATATCCCATTCTTGCGTTTTAAAGGAGCGCCACTAACAAGTGAAGCTGCGCTAGCCGCGACTGTTAATTATTTGGAGAAGTTCGTTACGGAACAGTCTACTGTACCCTTTTGGAGGTGTCATTTAGGTAAACATGCCATACCTCCCCCAAAGCTGAATGCAGAATAAAACGGGTGAACCGGAGTTAATTGAGAACACGGTGGCAAGGAGGAATAGACGCGGAACCACGTTCCAAGAAACTACTTTGCACCCTATTCCTCATTAAATGATGCCATTAGACCAGTTTTTTACGAATATTGATGGAGATGCAAAATGGTCAACATATTCTCCCGTCTTCTAATACAGGTCACAGGCAGGACGAAACCTAAGATTCAATAATATTGAAAAGAGGAATTAATGACGTTACGGTCAAATATCTTGGGAGTCGCTTGCAACTTTGGTTGCTGATGCGGCTGCCTCGTGGCTGTTTTGCTTACAACACCGACTATTTCTCGGTGGTCAAAGTAGGAAAATAACCAAGACGAGTGCCGGTGACGACAGTTAAAATAGGAAAGTAGCTATGTAATGGCTTGATTGTTGTCTAATTTTTTTCTTTCGGTTGTACAAGCACTGAATGCCTGTTCTTTGTACTTCTTCGGAAGGGCATGGCCCGTGGACCATGCTAGTAGTCGTCCCTCACCCTTATTTACACCATCAATGCCTGCTCTGTCCAAATAACATGACTTCTTTTGCCAATTAGAAAGATTCGAAACTCTGCAGCTATTTATGTTTGAGTTAGATTTTAAGAGTTTATCGCTTCCCCTGGAGCCTCCAAGATATTTAATATGTGAATGGACTCCCATTTTTTCTCTTCTTTGGTAAGATCGAGAGCATACAAAGCTCTGTTTTGTAATAATTTTGTGGAGTGTTTTGTCAAATTATATCTGTTTAACGTTTTTACCTGAAGTATTCAATTCCCAGTGCTGATATCGTGATGTTCTGCTTAAGTGGGTGAATGTGAAAGGCACACACAAAAGGCGATCTCAAGGATTACTCTAGTCCCATAACCACTGAGTTTATAATCATGTACAGAAGTGTATTTAGGTGAAGGAAACCTTTATCAGTGCTTGCGCCTGTCAAAATGGCAAACTATAAATTATCAAGGAGAGTAGGAGAAAATAAGTCCTTTTAAATGTTTAGCTTGGTCAGGTAAATAAACTGCTGCTAGCATATGATATTGGCTTGACAGCTAACACGTTAAACAGACACTAAGGTCAATTAGTTCATTGGCCACAATCAACTCGACAAACGTTAAGTACAGTGCTGACACGAACGACACTGGCTGTTTCTTGAGTAGCAAGCTTTTGGATTTACTATTTTATGGTTTTAGGGCTAATTGATTACTGAATAAGGAGGTGATACACTAATAAAGTATTTTTAGTCACTTGATTAATTCATTGTTCAAAATTCACAACCATAATAAATCCGGCGACTAAAATCAGGTGCGATGTGAAGCTGTCCGTATCCGTTAGCGGTTGAGGCAACATATCAGCGCCACATTCACCAAATTAGCTAATTTTTATACAGAAATTACACCATTTAGTCATAAGAGCTTGTTATCGCCCGGTGTTTGTCTGTGTGAGTATTCAAGAAGCATTAAATTCTGAACCCCTAGTCAACACACCACTTTGTTCGGCAGTGTTTCAAAGAGAGGAATGTCACCTTACGTGGGGTTTTACTGAGTAGGCATTAAATGAGGGAAAACCATCACAAATTTTTTATAATATTTGGATTAGAGTCGACTACTGACTACTCTATGATTGAGCGATTCCGTTTACGTAGGATTTTCTGCATTGGTTAAATCATTTTATATGTTACCTTTAAGAAATCGTGACTGATGGGATCACCTCCACATAAATACTTTCAGATCTCCCATTGGTCTGTTGAGGTTTAAATAAGAGGTCAGTAAAGGAGACCTCAGAAACCCTTATGCCTTCCAGCTTATACTGCTCAAGGCAGGTCGTTTTGGGTGCTTGTCAATGCAATGTCTCCCCTTAGAGTTTAACATATGACCCATTCTAGTAACCTCGGACTAATGTGTCGCAGCTCACCGACTTTCGACTATGTAATTAGATGTTCAATTGATTTGCATAAACTTTATTCCTAAGGGGATAGGGGGAAGCTGCCATTTAGATTAGGTACAATGTCCTTAATCGGCGGCTTTGAACCGAGTGAATGATGGGGATTTTGGATTCAAAGCATGAATGCCTTCATGCATTTCTTTCCAGAGTACACCTTGAAGGACTGGTTATGGCATGGCTATATGCAATGCATTCAGCAAAGAGGTAATGAGGGTGGATTATAGGAAAATCTCCTGTCAGGTGGGTAGGGTTAAATGATTGCTACATTGAAGTGACCTTCGTATATGACAAATCCTGTGGAAGTGTGCATTTCCATGGAAGTGGCTATTTGCAGCGAGATTTAAATACACATATCTATATATTTTGGGAATATTTAGGTACTGTTGGTTGTGGCATTTCATCGGGCGATGGAGTTCACAATTAACCATGGCTAAGCCACCTGAAAGTTTAGACGGAATTAAAATCACCAGAATGATGGGCCTTATACTACACCTCGGAACGAAATTGTGTCATACAGGAGGGCATATTCAAAGCGCCTGTTATTAAGGTCTCATGAAGTATAAATTTGATTGTTTCTGCCTAGAGCATCAACTTCGACCTGACCTAGAAGCAGCAGCTCCTTCTCCGCAAAGTAATGCAACACTTAGAGGAGTCAAGAGATGCCGTAGAACGACGTCCACATTCCAAAAAAGGGTGTATAATGCCCCACGCTCCCTTTGGATATCTATCCATGTGCAGACAACCACATGCAAACGAGAATAGACAGCTGCATAATAGATGTGAGACAGAAACGTAGGCAGCTGGGAAGGGGTTTTTCTTCCTTCTAGTAAGGCTAACCTTGTTATTATGGTAGGATTGGCAAGTTGGTATAGCATTGTAAAAGGAGTGGTAGGTTATAGTAATGATAAATTAACGAGTGATGAATTTGAAGAAGCTTCCTACCTAACTATTTATTTTTTCTTTTGAAAGCTTGAGGGAAAATTATTGTCAATCTTATGCTATAAAACTAATTAATTAATTAACATTAAGGCAGACCTTCTTATCAACTTGCAACTGACGGAAGCAGGAATGTTTACTGTATTCCACCTACGACTTCCCCCAATTATTAGCGGCCTCCTCATAACCAAGTGGTAAGGGATTCGTTCTATAAGGATTTTTAACAACTTACATACGTTATTACAGTAGCTTAATTATGAAGGCATACTTGACGTATTTTAGTTACTACCTAAGCTGGAACACTTCGCCTCAGTCGGCAACATCGAAAATGCCCAAACAATGGTAGGCAGTGATGTTCCCAGAGGTGCGGCACTCAGCTCTAGGATCACCTGTAAACGCGGCCTAAATTACAAACTGCATTTTTGTAACTAAACACTCGAGAAAAAGGGTTGATTTAGCCATCGAACTGTTGTGTATTTGAAATCATTTGGCGAGATGTTGCCATTTTTTGCCTCCTCTCACTCATTGGGATCTACTTTGTTGTTGTGCTAGTAAGCTGTACTTTTTGAGGATCAAGAGCATATTATCTATTAAGAAGAAGAGATGGTGAAAAGTTGCCTTGGGGTTATCTTAGGCCTTATGACCTGTCATAGTAAGAAAAAATTCTGTCCGGCTTTGAATTAAATGCGCTAGAGAATAAGTTCTTAGTCAAATGTATGCCCATCAAAAATGTTTCCGCCAGAAATCCGCTCCGGTATAGTTCAGTTTCGTAAAATATGCTATTTGGGACACTAAGAGAGAGGTTCACTTAGGAGATGCAATTTATTAGGTGTCTAGTAGAGCATTCCACTGCTGGAAGGTGTCACTTAGACAAAACCGCTTTTTACAAACCGTTCCCTGGTGAGCAAACAATCATAAGCCCTGTGAAGAAAATGAATAACTCCTTCGTTAAAAGGCTTCAAATATAAACTAAACACAAAATGGATGCTCGGCTGGCATCGTTGGGGAAGCGACTAATTCAGCATCTTCCATGCTTCACTACTGCCTCGAAATGCAACACTGGCGTAAAAGCAGACCGTTGCAAGTTCACTTGCCCCGAGTGACACTGAGGGAGACTATAGTGCGTTCCTCTTTTAGAATAATTTTTTTGTCTTTGAAGGTAAAAAAGGGAACAAAAATATTTTATTTTCAACAGTCGAAAGATATGAGCAAATTTTTCAAAATAACCATGGGAATATGGAGGCGGCTTGATAGAGAGAGGTAGCAAAAAACTAGTTTGGTTGGGTTCTTATGTATTAATTTTTTTTTCCTTTTGTTGTAAATGGTGCTAATCAATGTAAACCGGGTGATTGGCATTTCCACGCATATTTTCACCCCTATCAGCCACGGTCATTACTCTTAGCTTAACGTCAACTCGGTTTCTTTTCTTATTGGAGCATCAAAAAACTTATTTCGACTTAGCAGGTACCATTTAGTACCTCTTAGTGATTATCTTTGTTAGTCTCTCATCTTTCTTAAAGAAGAGCTGAATATGTAATGACGACACACATAAGGGCTGAGAGGTTACTGGCCTGGCCTTAAGGCCAAGCTGCTGAGTGGACGTACTGTGGCCGTGCCCAAACCCGAGAGTTAAACAAACAATCAAAGTGTCACGTAGCCCCTCTCATTTGACTGTCATCGCCGGCACTGCCCTTAGTCAACCCTTCGTGTCGGCCATCACAGCAAAGCTGGTGCCGTCAATAATACACCCAAGAACCAAACGAGCCGGTCAACAAATTCGCCTGCAGTTGCAAAGGTATCTGCCTACAAGGTCACAGATCCCTCTTGGTAATTTCGCTAGATCTGAAATCGCGTCATGTCTGGGAGTTGCACTGTTGGAAGGAGAATTTGCTGGTCATCTCGTATGTCCGCCGGTCGTCGTAAGAGCACTGGCCCATTAGCAGCCATTTAGTAAAAGCCGGAGGATAAAATAGTTTCGTGTGGATAAGGCATCGTCGTTCCGAGAAGGGGAAGCATATTTCGTGGAGACTTAAGTACCAACGCAACCAAAGCGTAGAGTAAAATTAGCGAACATAGTATTATACCTAAAGGGGGTGCTTCTTGCAGCAGCAAATCGTTTTCTGAGATTTTACGGCGTTTTTTACAATTTACCTTAAGTCATGTTGAATAATGATGTATTTCTGTTAATTTTGGGGCTAAATTAAATTATTCAAGTTTGTAAATCCAATTGGAAGGGAGAAATTAGAGTTGGTGGATTTATGGAAAGCAAACTACAGAATTTTTAGCAAAATTACTTTCGTCCATCATGCTTAATGCGTAAAAAATTCAACGCCTAGATAAGTGTCATGGAAGAAAGTTGAAGTTGGCGAGCAGTTAGCATTTTTCAGAAATTGTTTCGCTTGGAAAATTTGGACTTCAGATGGCGCAAATGCTAATCTGTGGATGGTTTAAATACGTCTGTTTTAATAAAGATAGAATGGTGCTTTAACCACACTCGTTTCCTTAAGTAATCGAGGGAAAGGCAGTCACACGGGCACCCCACTATCTCCCCGTGCTTACCATTTGTGCTGGCATGTGTAGACCTAGCAACACAGTTATCTAAACACCGTTTCATTTGTCACAGATTGATAGTAGAAAAGGATAAAGGCGCTAGGAGTAGTAACAGTATAAAGTTGTGTGATTTAAAATGGCACAATTGTTAAGACAAATGTGCCATTTCCTCCTTTGACCTATGTAGCAGGAAGTTATGCCCACCCAGTTCTTGGCCTTTAATCACAATGTGCTTAATTGTTCAGTTTGTTCCAAATACCATTTCACCACCTCTGATTTGACTTACTTGATTTAAATGGCACAAGAGAGGAACTTTTATACTTATGTACTACTTTGTTTGTATGTTTGGCTCTTCGTTTTATTTACGCCAGCACTTAAGCCTCCACGCTTCTACTTTGGCTCGACGACATGGTTACTGGGCCATACTAGTAGCACCTCAGCCCTTCTATACGTCAGCAATGCATATTCGACCCTGGTACCACGTCTTCTCTCGTCTTCAGAGACTCGTCGATGCACAACTTTTTTTAAGCCGTATACTCACCCCAAAAATTTGCAAACCTCTTCTAAGGCTCATTTTTATCATCCTTCTCTCATAATTAGTTTTGTTTGGAAAAGTTCCCTTTAAGAACCAACTCTAACAAATTCGATTAATTTTTACGGGGATTCTGCAAGTATTTTTAGTTTATCCATTCTTACCCACCGTAATTAGTTGCCCAAAACCGCACTAGTTTTGAATGGAATGAGTTGGGGCCTCCTTTTTCTACTTTGCTACTTACGTTTGCTGCATGCTTTCTCTTCCTTTCTCCCACGATTGCTTGACCTTACCTTCTGCTAATTGACCTCTAACCCATAAGGAAAACCTCCTCGGACATCTTAAGTTGGCTTGGCTGATGATAGTTGGAAGAGATAAACTATAAAACAGGTTTAGTAGTTCCTATATGCAACACAAAGGCGTGATTAATAAAAGAAGAGGCGAAGCCGAAATCTCTCAAGTGGACAGACAAATAAGATTTAATTTCATATCAAGGTTAATATTGCTTTCGACCCAGTGGAGGAAAAATCCCGGATTCGTATCGAGGTAATATGTAATTATTTACGGAAAGAAAAAGTAGTCTTCCCTGTCCTTTGTGCATTAACCAGGAGGCTGATGCTATGGCCAAATCTCTTGTTCGAGAGACTATTTTGTCCAGTAATATAATTTCAAATAAGGAGGACAAATTTGGAAACCTCAATTCTTGTGCAATTCTCCGTTTTGCCTCTCGAAAAAAAAATAGTTTCGAAGTGTACTGCCTAGTACAGGTAAGACATGGCGCGATAAGTGGTGACTTTGTCAGGCTCAGCTTAGTGACCAATGGAGTACCTCCTGTAGGTGGCTTCCGTAGATCACTTGTATATATCTGGTAAAGTTGGTTGGATGAGAAACAAACAATAATGTAATTGTTGGACTAGGTATATCATCAGTAAATAAAAGTTAATGTTTCTTTGATAACCAGTTAAGCAAACCAATAATAAGAAATAAAAGGAAGTTTGCCTGGGTCTAAATTTCCCTGCCTCAAACCAAAATGAGTGGATTAGAGAGTACTCTTCCTACCCTTACATGACCAGTTCTATCTCGTAATGTACTTTTGGAAATCTCATAAGTGCGAATTTCTCCTCCTTCATTGTGTTAAGGCTAACTGACTGACTGGTCGACACACCATCGTTAGACGTTTGAAGGTGACAGACCAAAAAACGCTCTTGAATGAAAAGCACTCCTTTGAAGGAATTAGAAATGAAAAGTGACAAGGAATAAAATTATTGAGAAAGCAAGCCAGAGGAAAGCAGTAAAATGTTGCCAAATACCATCAGAATGGTGCATTTGAAGTACTACTTCCCTTCAGTTGCAAAAGTACCAACTGACATTTGGAATGGTGTTTGTGTTTATCAATCAACGCATTAAAACAGTCCCGTCCATCTGTACTGATCGGTGGCCCATTTGAGTACACCGTCAGCAGGCAGCTAAGTGCTGCTGCAAATAACACCTAGGTGGGGATTACTAAATTATTCCTTTTATTTCATGAAATACCTACCCTCTGTAATTGTTACAAGCACAATAGAGACGTCCACTATATTCATTTTGTTGATATTTTTAGAAGGTATAAAATTATATTTTTAGTCTTAACTGACTTTAAATAAGCCCACTTAATGATTGTGAGTTATTTGTTGGAGAGCAATAGCATTAAAGTGCCATCTCACAAATTGAGCTTTTTTTTCCTTTTAGAAGGGAATCAACAGGCAATCACACCTAATCACAGGATTCTATTACTGATGTGATGATGGGGCTAGGAAATGCAGGCCATTGAGAGATAAATGCATCAACTATAGGACTTGGATGTCGTTAACTTCAATTGAACCTACTGAGGGTCCAATTTGGGAGCCAGTTCGGTGCCGCAGAGCTTTAGTGTGGGGGTTTTCTCTATCGGTACGCAGGGGCTGATTTTTTGCGCGTTGTAGCAACTTTACGGTTGACCCGCCCTACGACCTGCACAGGGCTAATGAGCTCCATCGGTATGGTCGCGGAGAGCCCACTGTAGGATCAGCGAAAGAACAGTATGCTAGTTTCATGGCAGTGATGCCAAACTAAACACAAACAATTCTTTTAAGGCACCGTTAGTCCTGTCCGTGTGCATTCATCTTCATGCAATACCCGCCACAACGCCTTGGAGAATGTATCGTACCTCTCAGCAATCGGACTTTTCGCGGAGGAAGCGATCATATGCCTCTATAAGACCACAGCCATAAAGAGAGGTGTGAATTATCAGCCACAGGGAAGATGCAATGGTAGTTGACTAAACATATCTCAGTGATGTGTGGAGGAGAACGAATAAATAGCGGAATAACTTTAATGGAGATGAACTAATTGTTTCAAATTGTAGAAGTCATTTGTCTTCTTACACTTCCTGAGTGCCTCAGCTATTTGATCATCAGGGAGGTAGACGTCAAAGCATGTTGAACCAAGTTGTAAGAAGGGATAAAAGCATTCGCCAGGGAATGGTTTTGGCCTAAATGTGAAGTGTAATGCGGTACTTTGCTGCTAGCCTTAGTTGGGAAAAGGTGGCAAAAGTGAGAAGTGTAGTTTATTAAAAAGGGCAAAAAACTAAGCACCTAGGGGTGTCTGGCATTTGCTCAGCCATTAACAATTTAAACCAACCAGCGTGCGTAATTGAGGAGAGTCTGCTTTTAGTTGCGGTGTCGACTAATTTACCTGCAAAAGTACAGGATTTATGATTAACTGTAGAACCTGCAGTTCGCAAATCAAGCAGGACTAACTTGTGCATCGCCTTACCTGGTAACTGGCACTCAAAGTAAGGCTGTCGCATTAGTCTCCTCTGCAAGGCACTGAAAGCTTACCCGACCACTGTATGGGACGATTCTAGACGATAGCACTTTATCTACTTGCTGACTACCCAATCTCGAGCTACCTGACTATGTAACAATGCCAACCACAAGTCAGTGTAGGGTGTAATTACCTACGATTTTTTACGTTCCTACTTTGTTGTGGTGTGTATCATCTTCAAAAACACATCGGATTGAAGTAGTGCACTAGCGTGAACCATCAACTGTGAATTAACGCCAATTTAAGACGTCATTTTAGTTACTAAACGATGTTACGTGGATTACTTTTAAACTTATTTATGGATGCCAGGGATAGAAGCAGTGCCAATATGGATTCGATTGTTTTCCGTAGCTTCCAAAAATGATTGCAGCTTGGAAACACAAAAATCCTTGTAAGACGTAACTACTTAGTATTGCTGTTTTCTGATTTTAGCTCTCTTTAGTAATCCGCGATCTCTATTAGTCAAATCCAATTGACCTGTTCACAAAAAAACCGGTTTTTTCAAAGAATTTGCATTGTCCCCTCTCTCTCTTTGGCAAAATGTATTGAAGGACGTATCGCTTTTAAAAACTTATAAATGGAATGACCACATTTCCGTATTGTCATAAGACTCATTGTTATGGATGCCCAGAAAGCTGCCTAATCGTGATGGGTGTTGGGTGCACAATCAGAAGGGGGAGGGGGATGGGGGAAGAGGAGGCGAGAAATGGCACCGAGACAATAGCCTCCTACGCACTGTCGCTGATTCGGAAAAAACTTCTGTTTGCTTGTGATCCTCAGCAACGACTTTCACATTTCAAATCTGTTGTACGTGATGTTAGAAATAATACCGTCTGTCGTTGTAATAGAATGCAACAGAAAAACCTGGACACTGAGTTTCTTTTCTGCTCACCACCAGTGCGAGTCAGCATAATTAAAGCTATGTAAAAGAGACGATCTGGAGAGGCACTACACATCGCCAGACACCTCGATTCATAGCGCTTAGTCAAGCGGCCAATTAAACAAATTCCAAGCATTCACCATTTGTAATTTTTTCCAACGCTAAATTAGGAACTGATTACTCTATAGAATATATTTACTTGTACCGATTTCTTAACCACATTATGTGATAAGATGTTTGGTGTCCCAGGCTCGCCAATCTGGAGGACCTGTGCGATGCAGGATTCAAAGTTACGCAGATGAAATCGCCAATCCGCGCTTTGATATCATTCGTAGCGCCTTACGTCCAAGATACATACTACATGTTTGCTCCAAGTTGGTATGATAAAAAACCCCAGTTTCCATTGAAAACGGATGCTTTATACTCAAATCACCTACTCATTCATTTGGCGAGTGAAATTTACGACACACAATGCACTTCTCCTTCCACCCACCATTCGCACGTTTTAAAGCCATTCTAAACGGAATCATAATCATTAAAAATGTATAAAAGATACTGTGGTGGAGTCAAATATCACCGATCTTGGTGAAATAAACGAAAAGACTAAGCAAGTGGGTGTAATGACTTCTTTTGAGGTAAAAGACGCTAGGCCATCAGACAATTTGAAAGTATGCCTGATCGCCGCGGAGAGGATGCGGAAAGATTGTTGACCTACTTGGCTCAAGTTCTTGGCTATGAAAAAAAGGGAAGTCATCAGTTGAAAACATCTAGACGGTCATTTCGCTCCTTAAAATCGGAGTAATTGGGCAACGCCGGCCTTGGGAAGTCATAATTAATGCTTGCAGACTAGGTTTGCAGGCCCGAGGTGCCTGTTGTGATTTTTGCCGTTAAATAAAATAGACTACACAGGTATGAATAGCTTGTAAAATAAAAATAAGCCATCAAATCTGATTGGGTTAATGGCTCTCCTACTACTGAGTGTTATAAAGCGCATCTGGGAAAGCTTAACTTCCAAGAATAAAACTTTGTAGGCGCAATAACCTGGAGTCACATTTAGGACATATCGCCCTGACATAAATTCAAGTCAGATTTGCGTTTAATTTAAGCAAAGAAGCCCAAGTCCTTCCACCTGTCACTTCTTAAATTACCTTGCCATTGTAATGGTTTGGTGGATCATTTAGCTCTGCTTCGTCTCCACAGATTGTACTTCCGCTTAACAGGATTGTATACCAGTAGCCTCGCCTCATCCGCTATAATGCCATGACTTCTTACCACTCCAGGGAAGACTCGGGACGCTACAGTCACGACAATGAGACAAGGCATTACTACCATCATATCATTGTGGCATTTTCGACCATAGACCTACACACTTTCGCGTCCAAACAACTCATCTTGGCTGTAAACTTAAAATAATTGCTTCTCTATTCCATTTTTGCGCTGACTTATGGAATCACTAGTTTACTTAGACATTAGGCTTATCAAACCTGGCCCAGATTTTGAAATATACCAGCTTAGATCAACAGTCACCCTGTTGGTAGAGTACTCTGGGTTGCACTGCCTACCGCGTTCCGCATATTTTGAACTGTTCCTCATGTAACTTCGGTTGAAAGTGATGGACGCAACTCGATTCTCACCGCTATAACAACGAAGTTCATCTCTCTTCCAGATTCGCACAAGCTCCTCGCTACAATTGTTGTGCAGCATTCGGAGAAGGTGCAACACACACAAACAGTATACCCTACACACAAATGTTTCAAATTCTGATGATGCCTTAAATTCAAAAAAATCTTTTTTTTCTGTGTAATAATAAACATGAATTAAATAAATTGAGTTAGAGCGTTTAACATTTTCTACGTGAGCTGTGAAGCAGCTGGTTTACATCTTCATTAGGAAGGAGGTAAATTAGCAAATACTATCTATTTATGCTTCACTGTCACATACTACCCCATAACCAACTAGCTAACTTGTGTTGAGCAGGAGCTATCGTATCGCAAAGCTGAGTTAACTACCACATCGTTGCTTACCCCAAACCACTCACTCACGCCCACACAATCCCACACTCCTAAGGCACGCATCACTTCAAATTCAATGGTTTGCTGGACTAAAGGTGGAGTTGTTCACTGCTCACTATGAAGTGTTTACCTGGCGGACTAGGATCCATCCACCTCTCAATGCTCTCCGATACTCTTTTTGAAAAACAACGCTTAATCGGTGGGGTGAAAAAATGGATGCTTTTACCCTTTCAAGAAAAAACCAGATTTTATGCTTTAAATGACTAAACTTCACCTTGAGATTGCTTTATTTGCATCCTCGTCCAATTTTTAACCTTTGGTATTCTCCAAACTGACACTTCTCCAAGTGATAACTATCACCTTTTTCAAAATTAGACAGAAGATCACATATGAAAGGGAGGGCAGATGGGAAATAACAGGAAGGGAAAAATGAAGGTGACTAGACGCAGAACGTTTTACAAGGGTGGAATTTGCAAGCTTGGGTATCGTTTAAAGAGGGTGATATCTTGCAGTGGGTATTACTTCAACCACTACACTGCGTCAAAGGACTTCTCTAGCTGTTCAATTTCTAACATTCAAAGCAATCTTAGCTAAAATTATGACCTTAGGCTGCGACATCTACTCATCTTGATAGAAGGAATTTAGGCTTATTTGTCCTAATTTATCGTTCACTTTGACCGTCAGTCGCCATCATTTCACATGCCACGGTGACATCGGTCATGAAATCTGCTTTCTCACAAAAATAGATTTTAATGCATATCTTAGTCTTTAGTCGCAGTTTTTCACGCTTTTTGTTTTATAGTACCACTTATTGGTCCTGAAATCGACCTTAAACGCTTATAATCAGTCCAGGCGAGCGTTTGGCGGCTATTTAAGGCAAATAAGTTATGGTGCTAGACGAAAACGCGAGGTGCGGATTGACAGGATGCAGATCGTCTGATTTGTGTAAAAAAGTTCCAAATCAAATAGAATCGCTCCAACTAAAAGGACTGTTTAACTGAGTTTCATTTTAAGTTATTTTTTTGTACTCCCTCGAGGAAAAGAATTCGGTGAAGAAAAGGATTGGCTGTTGCGAGAGGTATTACTCTTAAGCATTTAATGACCGAATAGACTAACGGTGCTAACTTAATACCTGAAATATGGGCGGAGGCAACTACTCACGCCTCCTCGTAAAACAAATTACTTCCATGTTCACCATTTTGAGTAGCGGATTTCCTTTAGGCCGAATACCTCAAGCTTATACAATTCAACAGTTGATAGTATTGTGCATTAACTTATTTTGCCCTATGTTAATTTAAATCTGCTAAAAGACCGCTGCCGTGTTGGCCAAATGCTGTTCATCTCAAACCGGGACTTGGGTTATACTACTGCATTTAAACGGAGTAGTGTCGGTCTTTTACTAAAGGTAGTAATAGCTGATGCTCATGTTCTTACCTACTTTGCGTGCGTGTATGAGTGGATAGAAGAGCGGTTGGGAATGTGATCGCTTGTGAACGAGTGATTAGGGCACAAACTTGCTCGCAGCGCAGCCTCAATTTTCGGAAAAAAAGAACCGGCCCGCGAAATACTGGAAGTTGAACGATTAGCTTATGTTTGCCTTGAATTTTCTGCAGCGATGGTGCCTACAATTTGAGGGCTCGCGTATACTGGTTACAAAGGCAGTTATAGGCTTTTCAGCAGCACAGAAGCGTTGAATGCTCTATGTGATGCAGGAAGAGATTTACAAGGAAGGAAGGGAATTTTCTTATCACATCATTACAATTTGTCACCAGAGCATAGCGTTTCACATCCGAATCAAAACCTGTATCAAATCTGTGGAAGCGTGTGCATTCTTCACCGATGACAAACTGACGCCGGATATCTTGAGATGGTTCAGCCGTACCGACAAACTTCTGTATTAAAGCATGAACATAATGGAATGCTATACTAAAATATAAATGGATTTTGTTTCTTGAAACTGGTCTACTTTATAACTCCAAAAGTCCCGAAATGACTTTAACATCCATGGTAATGCATGCGGAGGCAGATATAACTACAAATCAGGTCGAACAGCTAGAAAAAAATGGGAAAAGTAGGACTACTTCATAACTCTCTTTTAACATTTTCAAAAATGTTTAATGAGCATGGCTATAGACAACCGGTGTGTTGGAACCGAGTCAGCCTACCGCATTTTATTTTTCAATACTTTTTCGTAGCTGCGTCAAATTGGCTTCTAAGTGTCAGGAGAATTTCTCCTTACAAAATATAAAATTTGTGGGGAAAGACATGCTTTCTCCCAGCTGAAGAAATACACACAGGTACTGTGCCACTTTAGGATGGATATCAATTAAAGTACAAACCATCGCCCTCGACCTACCTGCACTAAGGTGCTAGATGCTCAATACTGGGAGATAAAGCAGACAGTTGGCTTGCCTGCGATTCGAGTTTTACTTGGATACATGTCAAAAGTAGGAAAGGCTGTTAGTTAAAGTGAAGGAGAACAGCGAACTCCAAAAACGCTTAGTAACTTTGGGGTGATCACCAAAACCCAATTAAAAAGAAACCTTCACTCATCACCGTAGCTTTTGGTTTGTCTCTAAGGTGGAGTGTTCAATTTACACACTACATCTGACGAACCCGTAACAAGCACGTCCTTCGGATTACCTTATCCTGCGAAATGTAGACCTTTTCCCCCCGAAGTTATGTACGTGGTCATATGGAGCAATCCTTAGCACTTTATCAGCTTCAAAATACGTGGTTTAGGAAAAGTGGTTGCATTGAGCCCCCTCGCAACCTGATTGGCTGATTGTAAAACAATCAGGTAGATGTAAGACATCCGCTCTCTAAGGAATGCTGCATCCTCCTCAAGCAAATAAATTACAGTGGCAGTAAAACGTCTGAGAGTGTGATGATCCCATTTCGTTGCTATAAACTGAGCCAAGCTGAGTGAAAACAAGATGGAGATACGGTGTGCGACTCGAGTCGTATGGAATACTGTCTGCCTAAAATGACCCAGAAATGCTCAAAGGATAAAGTTTGAAGCATTACACATATTAAACGAGTTCCTGGAAGACTCTTATTACAGAAATTTCTACTTGAAAAGATAATGATTCAACACGTTACCAGACGCCTGTCACCGCAGTATCGCTGCTGAGCAACTTGGGGTAAAAACTCCACGGGTGATTGTTGACAAAAAATACCTCGCGTACTTTTTGCCACCTGACAAAGCGGGAGGCTATTACTTTGAGAGTGTATACAGATAAAACTCGGGAAAGGAGATTAAAAATTTTATGGAATACCTTCAAGTCTTCTAAGCCAGTCAGAGTCATTTTCGTGGATATCAAATGAAGCGCTGTATGTTTTACATCAGATACGCTAGGAGGGTGTACTGGTTTTAAACAAACTCAGAGGGTAATTGGGTAATCTTCCATCAGCCAAATCACCAGCCCATTTGTTGACGCAATAAGGTAAAATTTGAAGTGCTCTTAGTCCGGAGTCATCATTAAGCATCTTTTAATGCTTCACAAGATCGCAAGGTAGGAGGCTTAACGAGTGCCTCTTCTAATCAGGAAGGAAGACGAAGATCCCTGGTTATTGCCCTTCCGCATTAAAAATTGCTGTAGTAAACTAAGGCATAAAAAGATGAACAGTTAACTTAGTTACGACGGCCTGATCATAATTTTCAGACTCCCCTGGATTGGGAGATTGCTTTGAAAGCAGCTAGACGGGAAAGCCGTTGTAACGAGAAAATTTTGATCGCCTGTGTTGATAGATCGAGTGGAGTAAATAAATCCAAAATCTATTTTTTCTCATTGCATACGGATTTTGATGGGTTTCTTTGCCGTAAAATCGACGAATCTGAGAAGAAACTGAAATAGGGTTCTGAATATTTTATTACCTGAATTTCTCCCTTCAAGAGTTGGTAGTATTTATGCAAAGATGGATTAAATGGGCTAAAAAACGCCTACAAAGTTCTTCAAAGCACGCCTTAGGCGACTGACTAAGCTTAAGACCAGAGACAAGCGATGAGCTCAGAGATAGTGTGAATAGGCCCGGCGCAAATGAACTGCCATTGATGTGAAACACGGATGATAAAGTTCAGTGAGGAACTTGTTAACTTCAGGCCTTGTGCATGGTTCTTTTAAATAGATACAATTTATACTAGACAAGAATTTAATACTTTAGTGGTTTGTTTAACTCCCAGTTTCGGTAAGGGGTCACCTAGGACTTCACCAATGCACCCCAGCCAGGAGGAATGGCCCTCGGGCCATGCCAGTAGCCCTGAAATCCATTGTCTAGCTGAACGTTACAACGACCTCCACGCGGCGCATGACTACTGTAGATTACTATTGCACGTTCATATAAGTATGAGCAAGTCTATGTTTGGTGGAGAAAAATGCCCCCTCTTAACAGGCCAAATTCTTGCCTTAGAACAAACATCAGGTTCCAAAACAAAACGTGTTTCCTCTCACCATTTCTTCCGTGATATCTTCCAGAACGCAAATATAACCAAGAGGCATAGATGGACACACCTTAAAGCTAAGGGATGCATTTTTTAATTACGAAACCATAGATTCACTTGGGAAAGAGGATACGATGTCTGAACCGTATGGACCAAATTTGCACTTTAACAATTTCTGTTAAGGAATCAAGTTCAAACTTTACTTACCCCATAGTGTCATGTATTCTAATCTTTTTTTCGAATGAATTTGTGAGGCTACTTCCAGACAGGCGAATAAATAAATCTAGATCCATTCGATTTGCTGACAAAGGGTGATGTTTCAGGAATAAAAAGACAGTCATCCGAATTGCTCTGGATATATGAGGGAATTTTATTCAATCACGCAGCATTTTATTAAGTGTTGCATATATACAACCATCTAGATTGTCTCTGGGGTCCTGGTCATTAACAACCTCGATTCAGCTCAACCATTAAGTCAAGCGTACCTATAATTAAGAATGAAAAAAAGCACCGACAATAGTCACTGAAATACTTAGCAGATACATAAGTCCCCTCCAGAAGTTAAGAAATGACATCGAAGGGCTACTTCCGACAGAACATCACGCAAGTGAACAGGGGCCTCCGTCCACCTAAGTTATTGCCACAGAAACCGAGCATTTGGCTAGTTTTTCGGTCTCAAAAAAACAAGTGGTGTGAATGGCAGTTCGGCCCACTCGATTGCGTTCTTGGGCCTATTTAGATAAAACTACAAACCAAGCCCTACCTCCCAACGTAATCAATACCAGGATAGTAGGACAAGACGAAACCAAAATAAAAACCGTTAGAAGACAATTGCTACTGAAAACTATGAGTAAGGGAACACGAACATGTCAGATTACTAAAAGAGCGATTCTAGTGATAGCGAATCCAGCCTGACAAAGGTCAACCTAAGTAAAAATCAAACCACAGGTGGGTAATAAAAGAGGGCTGTTTTAATCAAAATTTACAAGAACAAACCAGTAAGGGTAAGAATAGATATCTTTAGAAAGACTTAGTCAGTGCTAGACTTGCGCGAATTGCTTTCCATGGCTCGCAGGCATCGAGAAGCCGTTGAGAGGAGCTGATCCACAAGATCTTTTTTCTCTGACCCTGATACCATAGAGTCGTCCTCACCACGTCTCGCTTCCTGCATAACTAACTCCGTTAATCGAGTCAGTTGTTCGCCAGCTTTCGCTGCACGCAGTTCATTTACAGCCGCAGCATATGGGACGGAAGTGTTAGTGGGTAACGATAGCATCTTGGTGATCCAGACTGAGAGGTGAGGAACGAGTTTGCCATGAGCAGGAAGAGGCCAGCCAGCCAGGCACTGACCAAACAGTGCAGCTCCTGCTAGGCTTACACAGGCAAGGTAATTTTCTTCCTCGGCATTTGCTGCATTAATCATCTGCTGTTCGGTTTCACCAGCGATTTTAAGTGCCAGTAAACGGTCCTGTCGCTTCCGTTTTGCAGTTCCACTTCGAAGCACAGATACGGAGAGATTAATGCCAAGGTGAGAGTGAGCCAGGTCATCACACAGGGAAAATACTTCGTCTAGAGGGAGACTTCCCCCCGAACCGGAGAGGTCTGTGTTGACGCGGAGACATGCGTTGATTTGTTGAACCAGTAAAGAGGCCTCCTTTGTAGGCTCATCTCCCATCTTACCAAGAAGATCCGCAAGTGCATTACGTTGCTGAAACGTTATATCACTGGGGTTCAACTCGGTAGAATGTCTGAGAGCTACCTCCCCCTCGTCGCGCTTCTTCTGTTTGTTCTTCTTGCCCTTACCAGATGGGAGATTTTCCGTAGCTAAGTTTGGCCAATCAACGTCGTAGTTTTGAGCAAGTAGGACGTAGAGTCGATTGACAAAAGTGGAAACCTCACCGCGAATAAGTTGACGAAGTAGTTGAACGCGAAGATCGGCATCATCAATCGCTAGACTCCCACGTTCAAAAAGCTTGAATGCAAGGTGGAAAAACCGACCAATTAGAGACCATAAAGTGGCACGTGATACTAACAAATCAGACCAACTTACCTGTATAGACAGAATGGTTGAAACCAAGGAGTCCTTTTCAGCAAGGCATCTATCGCGATTTTTTAACGAGTCCGATGTCTGCAGATAAACCGATTTCACAAGCGACAAGAACGTTTCATGGATCCTTGGAAGCAATTTGTCAAGAATTCCCTCAATCAAGTCTTCGGGAGCATCTGCACCAACGCTAGAGGTCAGGAGAGAGAGCAAACTCTCCCGCAGTAGATATGACTCTATGCAGATTCCTGCTTTATTCTCTTCCTCGTCAGAATCCACATTTCTTTTGAGATACTTCTTTTTTACATGCTTTGTCTTGATTTCACGTGAACGACCACCAAAACCACCTGATTTACCCTTCTTGTCGAATCCTCTTGTAGGCGTTTCTTCAGAAGGAGCCAAAACACTCTTTCTGGGTTTTGAACAAGCTTTTTGCTTCTGTTCGGCTGCTGCGACAGCCGCCTGTTCACGAATAAAGTGATCAAAACAGGAAATGTGTTCAGAAAGGCCATTTGCAGAATAGAGGTACATATAATTATTTATAGGGATGAAATCGGTTCCTGCAAGAAGTGGTTTTATCACCCACTCACGTTCTTGCGCACCGAAAACTTCTGGTAGGTAGTGCGATACATCGATCCACGAGGTATCCAAGGCTTTGTCCTCCAAAACTGCTCTAATTTGGGAGACGGTTGACTCACAAATAGTAAGTCCCTTGGTGTGAATGGCTGAGGGGAAATGGGAACGAAGATAGGAAGATGGATCGGGAATGCCGACTCGTTGAACAGTAGTCCATTCGACGTAGCCATTTTGTTTCACAAAATCTGAGATATATGTATCCTGGGCTTTTCGATAGCAAAGCGGTGTATAAAGACTTTTTCCAGCCGTTAATGTACCTTTCAGCTTTCCGCTTGATATGAGAGTATCAATAAGACTCGACAAAACCTTAAGTGGTATATCCAGTTTGCTACCACAGTCAGCAAGGGATATCGGAGCAACAACAGCAGAAAGATAGCCCATAACTTTGGACTTTTGTTTAGACATGAATATTTGAGTGTAAAGTTTATCGCCATCTCGATGAACATTGAACAGCACACCACTGTAATCACTGATAATGGAGGCCAAGAACTGCGGAGTAAAATTATAAACACGTGATAACTCAATCATGCTCTCTGCTCCACGAAACTTTAATCGATCTCGGATCTCTTCGGCAATGCGTCTGATAAAGCTTTTGGTCATTAACTCACCGGCAACAAGCAAGCACTGCTCGTCCAAATATTCATAAGGGTTCGAGAGGAGCTCGTGAACGTGCGATTCAATGACTGAATACTCCACCTCGAGATTCTTAGATATTTCCAACAGCGAAACGCGTCCTCTACGGGCCGCCAGCTCTTCAATAATTTCCTTAAAAAGCTCATTTTCCGTCAAAAATGCACGACCATCAATTGTTCGGATAAGTCGAAGACGTCCAGACTTTGTAAGGTAGCTGACAATATCAACACATATGCGTTCTGACAAGTAATGTGTACTCTCAGATGTTTGAACACTTCTCAACTTCTCAGCTAGGTTTCTTACTTCACACCAATCAGACATCAACAATAAGTCAATACGAAGGCAATTTCAAGTAAGCCGGATGAGATCCGACTCATTAAAACCGCCTACTTAATAAAAATGCATAAGAATAGTAAAAATCTTTAACATATAGTTAGTTTTAATTATTTGACATCTGAAAAATTTACGAATAAACATAAAGGACATTAAGCATTGAAACTTCGGGGAATACGGATGTGTACAACTGTGGTATTGTTAGACCCACCTACAAATACGCCTCAACTTCCGTAACATTATGGTCAAAAAGGCCTATTTTTTGTAAGTCGTTTAAACTAAAAGACATTCTTCGTTGAATGCTTGCGTAAAGACACCAAATTACTCGTAAAGAACTGACCAACATTAGGCTATCTCCGCGTTACTTTGAATTTTGCCTTTGATTATGGTACGAATCTCAAATGGGCTCCAAAATATGCAATTTGATAAACCTTGAGATGGTTTTGATTTGTAATAAACCCATACCTTGGGGTTGTGGAGTTTTGGGCTAATCAAATTCAAATTTTCAACACCTCTGAAGCCATAACTGCATTTACCAGTTTTAACATATTTTAAATACAATTCCATTGTTGAAAAAATGCAAATTAAGTATGGGTGGAAAGACCTTGGCAAACCCAGTTATGCTTGAAGTTCATGTGCCATGCCCAAGCACAAGTACAACCGGTTGACTGGCGAAACTGACATTTGGATCCACTCACGTACTCACTCGGCAGGGATTCAACAACCCTCCTCCCCTCTCCTAAAAGGCATGACGGCTACTACTGCCGCTGACAGCTGCAAGACTGCGTTACGGGAGACCGACCAGATACTCGAGATAACGTGGACTACTAGAGTTATATGACTAACAAAACCACCCCCCCCCCTCCCCGCTAACACAGACTCGGAACAACCCTCACCGCATCCAAAACTGGCCTGAAATAGGCGCATTCTGAACGGAGATCGGAGACACCGGCCCCTTGATTGGAAACGCAAACGGTAGCATGACCTCACAGAGCATAGGGCAACGGAGTACCCCAGACACGAGGCACTAGTGGCACTGAGACGACCACAAAGACAAAGTAGACCAACCCCACACACACAAGCATTGTTTCCATCGTCAGTCACTCTAGACAAAACCAAATTGGTAAGCAACCCAGGCAGCAACTTAAAAAGCGCCGATGAAACTTGGAAACAAGCACATTTTAAAACCGATTTTAAATGCGGACGCATGTATTCCTTTAAAACCAATTAAATAACAAACAAATTCACAACTGTTTATATACTCTGTTGTGAAATAGCCGGAGGCATACCTCTACCTCTGGGACCCACCGGTGTCTCATCAACAGGATTCTTCGACTCAGGGTTTTTGATTGTCTCGTCCACGCTCAGAATCATGCAGGCAGCTTCCGTGGCCGCAGTAATAGCGTTGCTTTTCACCAGTGCCGGCTCCCATACAAATTTCTCGAAGTTATCGGCTATATCCTCACTGTTAATGTCCACACCTGCCCATACCTCACCTATCAACGCAAAAAAGTAAAATTGCATAAATTTGTAGGTGGTAAGTAAATCGTCGGGGATTTCATGCGAGATGTTTTAAGAAACTTAATGATCATTAACGAATAATGAAGAATACTGGTAAATGTTGCACTAGCTAACACTAAGAAACTGATCTATTACCTCTAGCATGAGCCTGACGAAGTCTGTTCAGTATGTTTGTAGGATCGAAACCCGCGTTTTCACAAAGTTGCCTGGGAATGATTTCAAAGGCACGCGCCATCGCGGTAATGAAAAGCTGATCCTTCCCAGGAATAGTGCGAGCATGCTCACGAAGATGCTTGCTTAATTCCATGTCAATGGCTCCGCCGCCAGCAACAAAAGCATCATTCTTTATTCCCCGACGGACAATCATGATAGCATCGTGAAGAGAACGCTCCGTCTCCTCCATAAACTGCTCAGCACCACCACGAAGAATGATAGTGCAAGCCTTCGACTGAGTGCAGCCTTTGAAAATATTGAATCTAAGCAATGATGAAAACAAGACAACACAATCACCTCTCAGAGCCTATTTGAACCTCCTCGAAGCTTTCACACTTTCCAAGCATGTCGGGCGTCAAGCCTTGAACAGTCGTTTGGATACTTCCTCCACAGGCCATCTGAGTGCGTTTCAAGTCTTCCCCGGGGACACGACCAGCGCAAAACATGTCACGATCGGCAAAGAATTGAGTGGCGACATCACCAATGGGTAGTTTCGAGAGAACTATTTTGACACCAGACTTGTGCAAGATGGAGAGCTTCTCGTAAAGAACACTCCACTCAGCATCAACAACCTTTTGGTATTCCTCAACCGTGTTCAATCGGATTTCGGCGTTTTCCTTCTCAGCCTTTAATTCTAACTCAATATTTAAAAGGGCAATAAGAGGATTCTGATAGGATTTTGGCTGCATTCCAAACCCAGCGTAGCTAAAAGTTTTCTTAAAAGCGACACCATCAACCAGCAGAGAATCTTCCAGGGCGCCTCCAGCAACCTAAACCTGGATGAAATTAGCAGCAATGACCTGACCTTTTTGATTCCTATCATCTTAAGGGAAAGTTGTGAATCCAAACTTCTGACTGCATCAACGACCAGTCTAGAAAAGAAGTCTTTTTGACTAGCTACAAGCTTGGAACTAAGAGCAGTAGCCGCGCACATTTCGAGTAGCCTCCTCTGTTCGCTACAATATCAATAACGAAAGAACGTCACTAATACCTGGGGGAGTCCTTCTCAACGCGACAAGCAAGGGAATTCAATTTCGCCAAAGCAATCCTAGCGCCTTCCCGGAACGCCCGAATTATAATAGCCGGATGCACACCTTCTTCAACGTAGGGCTTGATCTGCCGCAATAACTCCGCCGCCAAAAGTGCAACGCTCGTAGTTCCGTCACCAACTTCAGCGTCCTGAGACCTCGATATATCTACCAACGCCTTAGCAGCCGGGTGAACAACATCCAAGAGTTTCAAAACTGTGGCACCATCGTTAGAAATTGTGGAATTATTGTTATTATCGAGTATCAGCTTATCCATTCCACGAGGGCCCAATGTGGTACGCACCGCATCAGCAACTGCTTGACAAGCATTGATGTTACTCACTATTTGCGGAACACCTTGAGAAGTGTCCGTACCTTCTTTCAGAAGAATAATGCGAGGAGCCTTTAAGAACAGTAGTTAGTAACGCAAGAGAACTCACGATCATGCTGACTAAGGCGTAACCAAATAAAATACCAACAGTGAGGAATTTAAACAAAAGTTGTTCAAAAAAGTGAGGAAACAAAATGCTTTAAAGGCAAAAATTATTATAAACGTTTAAAAGTGTCGCCCTAGAATACTACCGAATTTGCAAAAAAGGAGCCATAAAAGATTACAGAGAGGTAATATATACTAAAAGATGCAAGAAAAATATGCCCGAAAAAGTCAACTGTCACAGCAATCAGAACACAACATACTTAAAAGAGGCCATATAATCCACTTCTGAAAATTTGCAAGAGGAAGAGTACGGCCGAAGAGCAAGAAAAAATGCAAGAAGTCAGCGGAGTAAGTACAAATATCAACTGCAACAAAAAGTCAATAAAAGAAAGACGATCAAAAAGGTTCATAAAAAATTACTCACAGAGTAGGAGAATAAGTTAACAAATATGACGGCTGAATCAAAAAAAAGAGAAAGAAAAAAGGCTGGGGAAAACAAATCGAATAAAAAAAGAGGCAATTACGTTAGTGAAAAGCACTACTTGCCAAGTTGTAATCAATCCATCGGTCAATGCATCGCGCATTTGATCGGTCGGTCAGTCGGTCGGTCGGTCGGTCGGTCGGTCGGACGGTCGGTCGGTCGGTCGGTCGGTCGGTGTGT